CCAATGAAGTTTTTTCAGCACGGGTTCAAATTCAGCTAATTTCCGAAACACAATTGTTGTGCATGACTGCGTCAGTCATGGCGTCAAACAGGACGGAAACTTTTACAATTTCTGTTAAATTTCCCTGATCACTGTAATGTATATATTTTTAGTTCAATAATTCGTGCTACGATACTCTTCCCACGTGCACGAATATTCTCAAACGCCTCAGCCAATGTATGAGCCAAACATTCTAAACGATTCCAGGTTCGTCGGCGGCATTTCAGAATTATCATTTGTGTTTTGGTGTTCCCATGATCACTAATGTGCTCTTTTTGAAATTCAATCCTTCGACTAAATATCCGATATTTAGATTTCTAAACACACAGTAATTTAGCTTTGCCTAAAATGACAGTGGATCATATCACAGAAGAGGGAATTTCCAACAGAATTCAAAACTTTTTGTGTGCGTGATGTATTTCGAATTTTAGTCGACTTTGAAGTATGGGTTGAAGAGGAGAGACATATATTTTATATGTTTTCAGACATCAAACGTTTTTAGACAGCCATGTTTATCACTAATTACCCCCACTAACGAGGGTTGTGGTGTCAACAGACATTGTAAATAATTTGATGATGGCTTGAATTTTAGATAAAGCTGTCTTTGATAAGTGAATGAGATGTTTTACGGTTCTTGTGATTAGCGAATGTTTCTTAAGCGTCCGAAAGCACATAACACGGGGGAAAATCTATTAACACTCTAAAACCAGACATAGGTGGACATTCGACTGAAGCACGAGCAACTTATCAATGACTTAAAAAGTAGTCGTCGTAATCTGACCTCAGGTCATCACCATGGAGTAGCCAATCACTTGCCTGGAATTTGATCTCACACATATGTTTGATACCAGTTATCTCAAATGGGTTTCTCATCCGGAGGTGTGTAAGAAGGCCTATTATCTTACGGTTGGTCACATAATATTTTGACTTCGCGCTGAAAGGTTCGGGAACTGGTCATGGAAGTCATTTATTGATAAGTTAATATACTTAAAAATAACGAACTGTTCATTCCTGTACAGTTGTCACCCGTAAGTTGAATTCTAAGAGCAGATAAAATATTCTTTCAAAATTATGTTTCCGAACTAGATAATATTTTCATATTTTTTCTTTTATACTGAACCGCAAAAGAAACGTCACCATGGATAGATATATGAGAAACCTTATTTGTCCAAACATTGTAAACATACTTTGACACATGTTAAAAGATGAAACTTGGCAAAACTCATCATCAGGGTTGAAATTAAAGTGTCAAATGTTCTTAAAGTGAAACACAACACTAGTCTCTGAGAAAATGGCATCACAAGTCAGTATCTTGTGTATCCGCCATGTGCATTGATGACTGCCGTGCAACGTCAATGCATGGAATGAATGAGGCGGTTGATGAAGGCCAAAGGCACTTGAGCCCACACTCTGAGGAACGCCTGACGCAGTTCAGCTGCAGTTGTCGGCCTTGGTCGGACGTCATTCAGCCGCCTTGAATCTCGTCCCACAGGTGCTCAATGGGATTTAAATCGGGACTGAGAGCAGGCCATTGCATGGTTCTGATGCAATTCTGCTGGAGGAAGTCTCTTGTTGCTCTCGCAGTGTGGGCACGGGCGTTATCATGCTGAAACTCGTGGTTGCGGCGACGTGCCAAATGAGGTATGGCGTGTGGTCTCAAGACTTGACCAATGTACCGGGCTGCTGTGACACCATTGCCTCTCCTTGGACCCTCTGTGCAAGAATAATTCCACCCCACACCATGATGCTCGGACCACCCTACGATTCTCTCTCAACAACACAAGAATCCGAATAACGTTCCCCACGGTGTCGCCAGACTCTCTGTCATCTGCTGTTGAGATACAGTAACAGCCCTCGTCTGAGAAGAGAACTCTTCTCCACTGCTGGTGGTGTCAATACCAGTGTCAATACGCACGGTGTCCGAACTAATGTGTCGCTGGTGTGTCCCCGTGGTCTGTAGAGCAGTTTCCGCAGCAGTAACAAAGCGAGCTTGAAGATGCTGTCGCACAATCTGACGATCCTGACGTCGGGTGGTAACCCTTGGTCTTCCACTACGTGGTCGGTCATCTGTAGTGTTGGTGGTCTGATACCATTGCTGGAGCCTGTATATGGACTTGAAATGCATTGGCTACTTGCCGAGCGGTTTGTCCAGCTGGAATGTGGTCTGGGACTGAGAGCAGGCCACTGCATGGTTTTGATGCTATTCTGCTGGAGGAAGTCTCTTGTTGCTCTGGCAGTGTGGACACGGGCGTTATCATGCTGAAACTCGTGGTTGTGGCGACGTGCCAAATGAGGTATGGCGTGTGGTCTCAAGACTTGAGCAATGTACCAAGCTGCTGTGACACCATTGCCTCTCCCAGGACCACAGGGCCGACCCTCTGTGCAACACCAATTCCACCCCAATTCCGAATAACGTCCACCACGGCGTCGACAGACTTTCTCTCTGCCATCTGCTGTTGAGATACAGTAACGGCTCTTGTCTGAGTCTTTTCCACTGCTGGTGGCGCCAATGCTAGTGCTGTGTTGGCCACTGAAGACGGTCCCGGCGATGACGTGGTGTCTGAATTGGTCCTCGGTGTGGTCGGTCATCTGTAGTGTTGGTGGTCTGGTACGATTGCTTGAGCCTGTATATGGTCCTTACGTGGACTAAACATGATTTTTTAAGATTATTTCATAGAAAGTCACTAGATATGTTTCAGCAGGATTGGAGATCGACACATGAAAACAGTTCAAGATATATCATGTGTAGATCTTTTAAATCGTTGATTGAACCTGAATTGTATTTAAATGTTATAACATGCAAATCTCTGCGCATAATATATTCAATATTTCCTCTCGGATTGTCTGAAATAATGGTTAACATTGGAAGACATCGTTTTATACCGAAACCAATGAGATAGTGTCCTCTCTGTCAAACTTGTATAGAGAATGAACTTCATATACTGCTTGTTTGTACTGTTTATACTGATTTCAGGGAATCATATATTCCACAGAAATACCTGCGTTTATCAAATTTGTATTCATGTAAATCTCTGTTGAATTCTAATGATAGTAAAACAATTCAATATGTCCACTTGAACATGAACTTGAACGTGGACTTGAAATGCATTGGCTACTTGCCAGGCGGTTTGTCCAGCTTGCAATCGTCCAAGGGCTTCGTGTCACTGATTTCTTGTCAACCTTGGCATGTGGTAGCAATTCAATAACGAGTGAATGTTATCGGATCTGGGTGGGCTTTTATAGGGCAAGAAATGGGTGAACGCATGTGCATTCTAATTTGCATGGAACTCAAATGCATCGGGTTACCATGGCCGTTGCCGTGATGCGTTTGGGCGATCGGTTTTATTGTCGCCTGCTTTTGTTTTTTATCATTAAATTTCATTTTTCCGGACAAGGTTATGTTAAATTTTAGAAACTTTGACAAAAAAATACCTAGATATTTAAATGACAACTTTTCATGCAATGTAACTTGGGATGAGGTTTCTTTTGCGGTTCAGTATAGTTAGGAACGTAGTGGGTGGGCTAGTTTAAGGGGAGTTGAACGGCTGATGTAGTACCTTTCTTTGTAGTCCTTGTTGTAGCAGCTTATGCCCACGCGGGCGTAGTGGCTGGGAAGACGTGACGATGCCACGTTCATTGCTTGCTCGGCCATGATTGGGAGAACCGAGATGTAAGGAGCGTGTTTATTGGTTGTGTCCATTTTCCTGGTCACATGGTCCACGTGTTGGCTTCATAAGCCAACCCTGGGTAGGGAACCAAATAAAGGAAATTGGACATTTCCAACACTCCAACCTCCCCCACCACCTCTCTTGCCTCAATCTTCATTACTTTTGTCATATACTTCTGCGCAGCCGGCTCTGTAAACATCCTCTCTAAATCCCTCACAGCTAACAAAATAGGAATATGGTTTAAACAAAAAAGAATTCACTTTGATAATATAAAACAGGATCATAAAGGATTCCAGAGATATGTAGGTTATAACTAGGAGGAGGACGATTTTGTTCCCTGTTTATTTTTTTGTTAAATAAACTTTAAATCAAACTTCACTCTTTGTGCTTTATCTATAATTAGAATTGGTAACCCGGTCAGGAAGGAGCCTCTTAGAACATAAAGACAAAAGAATACTGTGTAGGGAAAAGAGAACACAAAGCACGCAGTAAAACATCAGACCTTTTGTCAACTATTTTTATAGTTCTACTGTCACTGGGCGCCTATCACAGGCTTTAGGGAGCGCCTATTACAGACTTGGTGCCGAGACCAGAATCGGGTTTTATGATTCAATTTCTAGGTATATTTTGCTTCTGAAAACTAAATTTAAAATTCAAGTGAAAATATGACTGAAGGTTTAAGTTTAAATTGCTCAGTTTTGTCATCGATTTTGGGTCAGATTTCAGTCTTAGGTTGGTTTTCATTCACTTTCAACAGGCTAATTTGAAACTCAAACCTAAAAAGTGTATGCTCTTTCGATCGGAAGTTGCTTTTCTAGGACACATAGTCTCAACAAATGGTCTTAGATGTAGTCCAGAAAAGGTAGAAGCTGTCAAAAGCTGGCCTAGCCCGGAAACCCGGTCAGATATTCGCAGTTTCTTGGTCTTGTAGGTTACTATAGGCAGTTTGTACAAAACTTCTCGGATATCGCTTCTCCTGTAGTGCAGCTCACTTGAAAGGGTATCCCATTTGAATGGAATAATGATTGTGAGAAGGCGTTTGATCACTTAAAGCAATTTCTCATAACTGCCCCTGAGAAATCAGAAATCATAGATTGGAGTTCAGATGCAAAGATGCTATGGGGACAATGGGGAAGATCTTAGTCTGGAGTATAGACTGCTGTACCGCAAGGTAGAATCTGATATTTTTGGCATTCGTTTACAGTAAGTAGGACCAACAGCTGTACGTACATCAATTTTTGAATATTTACTTCACGTACAGCTGGGCACTATGGTCGAGATAAAACTATGACATCTATCAAAACAAGATTTTATTTGCCAGGAATGTCTAAGGACATTAAAGGATGGTTGAAATCTTGAGACTTGTGTGCATGCTGTAAATCAGGTCTAGGACGAGGCAGGTCTCCATTACAACAGTTTACTGTACGGGCTCCTATGGAATCTCTGGCCATAGATATTGTTGGTCCTTTACCTATAAGTAGAAATGGCAATGAGTACATTATGGTAGTTGGAGATTTTATTACCCCAAATGGAAGGAAGCATTTGCATTGAGAGATCATACAGTGTTAACTGTCACCGACAAATTGGTGTCTGAGGTGATCTGAAGGTTTGGATGTCCAGAGCAGATTCACACTGATCAGGGAAGAGAGTTCGAGTCCCATTTATTAACAGAAGTGTGCCGTTTGTTAGGGATTAACAAAACCAGAACTACTCCTTATAGACCTCAATCATACGGGTTAGTTGAACACTTCAATAGGACCTTAAAGCAGATGCTGAGCATTTACTCTTATCAGGAACCATTAGCTTGGGACGACCATCTACCATACTTACTAACTGCGTACAGAGCTTCTGAACAAAAGAGCACTCACTGTTCGCCTAACCTAATGATGTTGGGTCGAGAAGACTTTAGTGAGTCTACCTATACATCTCATGGTGGATACCCCACCTGCAACTGATTGTGACAGTTGCCCTATGAATACGTGAAATGGTTGAGGGAGACCATGCAAGGCATATTTCAGTTTGCAAATGACCAGCTAGGTAGCTCAATTACAAAAGAGAAACTATGACCATAAGTTTAAGGCAAGATCATGTGAAGGAGGCTCCTTTGTTTGGCGATAGTATCCCCCTAAGGCCAATCAAAAGCTAGGTTTAGGATGGGATGGGCCCTACTTGGTAGTAGGCGCTCGTGAAGAGCAACCTCTTCCCCCGTGTGGACCCAGGGTAGAATGTGTTCACAGCACCCCATTGCTTGTCAGAAGAAGGGGACAAATTGGGCAACCTGTTTGCCATGGGTTGCGCCCCTGTGTCAGTAGAGGAAGGGAGCCGACAATAGTGTTCCTCAGTCCAACACACCACTTTGACCCTAACTTATCTAGACGGGTGGTAGGATGGGCCCAGTCCTCTCAATCGGCTGGTCATGCCGTGCGCTGTGCATTATCTTTATCAGCACAGATTTTACCCAATTTAGTTTTCATTAGGCAAAGTTTACTTCTGCTTAAATTGTATTCAAACCAAATATGTATGCTTATATGTTGAATTATTTGCAATTTGGCCTAGAGTCTTAAAGCCCAGAAGGTGGTGGCTTATGGGCCAATCTGATAGTTCATCCTTTGTAATGTTTCTGCTTGAGTATACCCTCTTGGTATCCTTGGTGCCGCCTGTTGGAGGACCACAGGCATTTGGCAATGTCCTTGTTGACGCTCCATGGTGGGAGGGGAGCCAGGAGGTGGAAACACAATTATACTACCATGGCTACTTAAAAATCCCAAAAACAAAAACGTTATCATACTGAGGATACTGATGATGAGGAAGATATTATAACCAGACTCTGTTACTCTGAAGGTGACACCTTGCCTCGATTCATTGTTGCTGAATCTAGTGAAAAACAGTTAACATCTTGTTCTCCCTTTTTATTAGAAAAAGCAATTCAGGGTATTGCTGGAACTGTGAAGAATGTCACCAAAACTAGATCTGGTGCAATTCTTATAGAATGTGTCAAAAGAGGCCGGGCAGCTAACCTACTGGAAGCCAAATTTTGTGCTAAAATACCCATAACATGTTATCCACACAAGTCCCTGAACTTCAGCAAAGGCATTATCCAACACAGAGATAAGAGTCTTGCTGATCTATCTACTGGTGACATTGTAAGTCAGTTACCTATGCAGGGTGTAGTTGAGGCAAAACGTTTCACCTTTAAGAAGGATGGAATCTTTTCACCATCCAATACCTACCTGCTTACATTTGATGTTCTGAAGCTACCTCAATCAATTAAAGTAGGATGTTTCTCTATGTGAATTGACATGTATCTTCCTAATCCTCTCAGGTTTTTCAAGTGCCAGAAGTTTGGCCATGGACAGAAAACATGTCCAAAACATGCCGCTTGTTATCGTTGTGATGGAGGAGATCATGATGGCAACTCATGTGAATTTGAATTCAAATGTGTTTATAGCTTCGGTCCTCACATGTCCTCCTCTAAAGAGTGTCCAGTTTTGAAGTTCAAAATGGCCACCTGGCGCATAAAAATTGAGAAGAACATCAGTTTTTCAGATGCAAGGAGGTTGGCAGCTTCAATTTCACCTTCCAGCAATACCGAGACACTGTGTCCATTTTCAACAAATTCGGTGTTTATAGATGACATGGAAGTGTCAGCCAATCAGAGCACCCGCCCTAGGAGCCATTCTCCTAAGAAAAAAAAGTTGGAAGCGATCTCCCATAACACACCCACAATGAATATTACTCTAATACAATGGAATTGTCGAGGAATTGAAGCAAATTATAGCCCCATTGTACTAAATACTAATTTACAGGCTGTTGCAGTACGACTAACTTTACATGTTGCAATAACATGTGCTCTTTATATACTCTTCAAAAAAAGAAACTTGACATAGATGTAAAACCACTTTTTGCCATATATCTAAAATAATTACATTAAATGAGAACCAAATAAGTCAAACAGAAAGATGATGTGTCTATAATTCGCGAAAACACATGCAAAGCACATAAACGTAGCGTTTGGGGATCAATTTTACAGCTTCATCCAAACGCATACAGTCCTTATAACGGCAGTAGAGGCGGTGACAGAATGCCAAGACTGAATGCAGCTCAACGGAACAACGCCATTTGGAGATTACAAGCTGGAGCAACTCAGCAAGAAGTGGCCAGGCACTTTGGCGTATCCTGACAGACAATCTCCACACTGTGGACCCGATTCAACAAAACCAACAGAGTTGACGACAGACCAAGGTCAGGAAGACCAAGGGTGACAACCCAAGCACAAGATCGATACACCCGGCTGCTACACCTCCGAGACCGCACTACCACAGCCACGCCTACAACCACACAGATCCCTGGGGTACGCAGAATATATAAATCAAACGGTACGCATCAGACTGAGGGAGGCTTGACTTTTTGCACGAAGACCTGTTCGACGTCATGTATTGACTCCATGTCATCTGGCGGACCATCTGCTTTGGTGCCAACAGAGGGTTAGATGGGCACGTGCAAGGTGGAGAAATGTACTGTTTACTGACACAACCGATACTGACATTTTCTGTACCCCTGTGACATTAACTGTAACGTGTACGTGTGTCTACCTAGGTGACACGATTAATGTTTTGCACATTGTGTACATTGATCTTCAAACAGTGTTTCAATTATGGTTTCTGTGTCCTATTTTGAAACAATCGAATTATGTTACATTTTGAAAGTCAGTGTCAAGTTTCTTTTTTTGAAGAGTATATATACCTACATTATACGCTCTCCAAATCAGAGATCTGGATAATCTCATTGACCAGCTTCCCAAGCCGTTCACTATAGTGGGTGACTTAAATGGTCACAACCCCTTATGGGTTTCATCTACACATAATGACAAGGGAAAAGTACTTGAAGACATTCAGGTTAAGCATAGTCTATGTCTGCTTAATGATGGATGTAACACATGCCTCCACCCGGCAACAGGTACATACCAAGCTTTGGATTTGTCCATTTCTGACCCATCACTTTTTAATTAATTTTTGTGGTCTGTTCACGGTGTTTTGTGCGGCAGTGATCACTTTCCTACCGTGCTTAAAGCTATATCTCCCTTTGTGGATAGTTCCATTTCCAAATGGCAATTTTCCAAGGCTGATTGGCTGTCTTTTAGTTCTTTGTGCTGTACTAAATTGAAAGTTGATCATCTTATAAATGATAATGATCAAATCAAACTGTTTTCTGATGCATTACTCAATGATGGCACTGAAACATTCTCTAAAACCTCAACAACTCCACGTGTTAGTACACCATGGCACAATGAAGATTGCAAAAAAGCTAGAAAGACCAGGAAGAAGGCTGAAAGAGTTTTTAATAAACATCCGTCTCAAGATAATTTAAAACACTTAAGGATATCAAGAGCAAAAGCTCATAGAACCATTAAGCAAAACAGACTAAGCAGCTGGAGGCATTTTGTTTCCAAACTGACTACACGTATACCACTCAATAAAGTATGCAATATGGTTGGAAGGATAAAAGGTAAAGGGTCCCCTAGCAGTGTTCAACACTTAACAGCTGATGCTGAGACATTAACTTCCAAAAAAGACATTGCTAATAAGCTGGCAGAGACAATTAGTAATAATTCATCGCCTGCCAACTATGATCCTAAATTTCAAAGGTATCAAAATCAAAAGGAAAGGAAGATTCTTAATTTCAAATCCGATAATTCTGAAGACTACAATGAATCTGTTTCCTTAAATGAACTGCAAGAGGCTATAAACAAAGCTCATGATACAGCATCTGGGCCAGATGATAACCATTGTCAATTATTAAAACATCTACCTGAGTCATCTCTTTTACCCCTCTTGTTCATTTTCAATAATATTTGGGAATCAGGTAATTTTCCTTCTTCTTGGCATGAGGCTACTATCATTCTTGTACCAAAACCAGGGAAGGATCACACGAATCCTTCTAATTACTGACCAATAGCTTTAACAACTTGCATCTGCAAAACCATGGAATGAATGATCAACAGGCATCTTGTCTAGTATTTGGAATCTAATAACCTGATAACTGATATTCAATCCGGTTTCAGGCATCAGAGGAGCAGCATTGATCATCTCGTGGAGTCATTTGTATGCAATGGTTTTATTAATAAACAACATGTAGTATCAATCTTTTTTTATTTGGAGAAGGCATACGATACAACATGGAAATATGGCATCTTAAAAGATCTCCATAATATGAGTCTTCGTGGCCTTATGCCTCATTTTATCACAAGTTTTTTAGAAGATAGAACATTTAAAGTTCCACATTATCTGAGATATATGATATAGAACGAAACTTGGGAAACTTCGGAGCGCAAAGTTCGAGAATTCATGAAGGAAAAATTGGATATCACTGAAGCAGACGATATACTTATCACAAGAGCTCATCGATTATGCAATGGGAATATAAAAAAACCTATTATTGCAAATTTCGTTATTACAAATACGAGGAACAACATTCTATATGCGGCTAAAAGGAAATTCAAAGGTCAACAAAACCCACAGTACAGAGTCACAGAGGACCTAACACAGCATGTACGCGAGGCCCGACGCTCCTTAGCTCCATTATATTCTGAAGCTCTAAAAGCCGGATTAAAACCGAAAATTCGACACGACAAACTCATGGTGTTTGTATACGACAGTGTGAAGACAATGAATGTATGCACGACCAATGGAAACAGGATATTAACAAACATCATAGGCACGCAATCTTACCAACAGCACATACACGCCCCTTTGTTTACGTCAGAATCTGGACCCGGAAATGGAAGGGAGAGCACTCCGGACAGAGGCCCGCGATCGACAACATGGAGATGAGGAGAAGGCCAAGGCACAAGTTGTAGTATTCTCAGTTGGAATATTGATGGATTGTACAAACACGTGAGCTCTTCATTTAGTGATTTTAAACAGTTCTGCAGTAGATACGACATTATTAGTTTCTGTGAGTCGTTTGTTAAGCAGGAAGATGACTTTGGCCATCTATTGTCTGATTTTCAATCATTTCACTTTTGTCGACCTAAACATAAACAACGTGGCCGTTACAGTGGTGGTGTAACCGTATTGGTGAAAGATAATTTCATCAAGAACAATCTTATTCGTCGAATATGTCATTCAATTATCGACTGTGTTGTTTTGCACTTTCAAACAAGTTATTTTGGATTACAAAAAGATTCAGTTTTAATATTTGTTTATATCTCGCCTAAAAACTCCCGTTTATAATGAGGCTAACATTGATCCCATAAGTCGTCTTGAGGGATATATTGAGACAATCATAAATATCTATAACAATCATTACCTACTACTTGCTGGAGATTTCAATGCAAGGATGCGTACATTTCTGGATTATATCCCAGCTGATGATCTCAACTTCATCCATGAGAACAGTGATGACTATCCAACTGATGGGTTGGATATTCCCCGTAAAACAAAGGATAACACTCGATACAACAGTTATGGTGTCAAATGAGCAGAATTATGTTGCACACATGATGTCCATGTACTAAACGGGCGGCTATTTGATGATATGGATGGGAACTTTACTTGTATCACTCACAATGGTGCCAGTGTGGTGGACTATTTTCTGGCAAGTACAGATTTATTTCCACATTTTAGCTCCTTTGGTGTTCATGAGAGAGATGAATCTAGTCACTTCCCTCTTTACTGTACTATTGACTTTCCACTTAATTACTCTGAGGAATCCAACAGCAACCCCAATGTTTTTAATAATCATCATATTGGTGATGAAAACCATCAAGATTCAGCTCAGCAAGAAAGATGGACCAAGTATACATGGTGCCCATATAACAGTAAATCATTTATGGTGAATTTCCAAGATCTCTTTTTAACATATTGTGACAGTATATACAAACAGATTGAGAAAATGTAGAAGACAGTGTAGATGCTTTAACAGACATTTACCATAGTGCTGCAGAAGAGTTTAAAAAAGTGTACAAAGGTAGTAAGTTAACTGACATATCACCACAGCCACCTTGGTGGGATGATCAGCTGGAAGTATTAAAACAAAAGAAATATGCAGCTCTAAGGCTCCATAGGCAATATGGACAGGGTATTGCTATATATATAGAATGTAAAAGGAAATTTAAAGAAACATTTTATTTGAAAAAGGAAGATTATTGCCATAAACAGAGGGAAATTCTCAGTGCATCCAGACATGATTCAAAATCTTTTTGGAAAGTGTTAAAATCCTGCAGAGTAAATCATAAGAATCCTTCCAACATAACAGTAGATCAGTGGTTTGAGCATCTAAATAACCTGTTGAACTGTAATTCTGACTGCAGCTATGATTACAGTGACCCAATATGGGAATACACAGATGCAGATGACAGTGACTATTTATGTGAATTAAATGACCCTTTTACACAAGAGGAAATTAATGCAAGTTTGAAATTGCTCAAAACAAGCAAATCTCCTGGCCCAGATGGCATAGTTAACGAATTCTTTAAAGCAACTAAGAACTATATCTCACCATTATTAACAAAACTATTCAATAAACTTTATGACGGTGGTATATTTCCTAGTAGCTGGGGCAAGAGTATTATTTGTCCCCTACACAAATCAGGCAGCTTCTCAGACCCAAATAATTACAGAGGCATTTCCTTGATAAATTCACTGTGTAAAGTTCTTACAACAGTACAGTGTAGTTAACAACAGACTTCAACATTGGTGTGATAACAACTATATTATTTCTGAATTTCAAGCTGGCGTCAGAAAAAATTATTCCACTATTGACCAGATATTTACCCTACAAGCTATGGTCAACAAATATTTATAAAACGAGAAATGGAAGGTTTTATTGTCTTTTTATAGACTTTTCAAAAGCTTTTGACAGTGTGAACCACAAAATGTTATTTAACAGATTCCTTCAACTGGGAGTTAAAGGTAAATTTCTCAAGTTTATAATTCAGATGTATTCAACACTATGTGCATGTGTGAGAACTGTTTGTGGACTATCGCCATACTTCAAGTGTACCATGGGTACTCGTCAGGGGTGTATCTTAAGCCCTCGGATCTTCATCATATTTATTAATCTGTTAGTTTCAATGTTGGAGGAAGAAGGTGGTAGAGGTGTGTTTATATCTACTCATATCCCTGATGTATTTGCACTGTTATTTGCTGATGATGTGTCAACCGTCTCTGATACTGCTTTCCAGCTTCAAAAGAAAATAAGTACCCTGAAATAAGTATGAAAGTCAATCTGAATAAGACTAAAATAATAGTATTTCAGAATGGAGGTCCTCTTCGCAGTTATGAAAAGTGGTTTTTGAATGGTCAACAGATAGAACTTATCAACATGTACAGATATTTAGGAATTATTTTCTTACCAAAGTTATCTTGGACCAAGGCCCAAGCATGTCTAGCAGCCCAGGCAAGGAAAGCACTTCTATCAATATATAATTATCAAAAACAATTTGGATATATTAATCACCATGATCTTTTTAATATTTTTGATGCTATGATTTCACCAATCCTATGTTATGGATCAGAGATCTGGGGAACCAGCTACTGTAACATTATTGAGAGTGACCATAACAGATTCTGCAAATTCTTTTTGAAAGTAAATAAGTTCACCAACAACAACATGGTTCTAGGAGCCTGTGGTAGGATCCCCCTACAGTATAACTACATGTCAAGAGCAGTCAAGTATTGGTGCAGACTAATTCAGATGGAACAACACAGGCTACCCATCCAAGCTTATTATATACTAAAATCTCTTGATGATAATGGTAAAATTACATGGGCATCACATATTAGAATGATTTTATTTCAGTTTGGATTTGGTTTTGTTTGGCTAAGCCAAGATATTGGTAATATTCAACATTTCATGACAGATTTTAAACGAAGCTTTTACGACTGCCTCACTCAAAATTGGCATTTTCCCCTGACATCATCAACGAAATGCAATTACTACGCACAGTTCAAGTCATTACTAAATGTGGAATCACATATTACTTGTGATATGTCTTCTTACCAACGTAGACTTATAGCCATGTTGGGGGGCACGGGTGCCCCAGTCGTCTAAGGCGCCTTGATTCGCTGTGCAGAGTTGCGTCCCTTGGCCTCGCCAGAAACCTATGATTGTGGGTTCGAATCCCGGTTCGCCCCGATTATGTTTCTAGGTTTGTCAGCACCATACCCGTGCTTGTGGGTTTCACCGAAGTGGTAAACTTTTGAGACCTGCATCACTTCGGGCTTTCCTCCCACATTAAGCTGACACGCCGCGATATAACTGGAATAATGTTAAAAGCGGCGTTAAACCCAACTCACTCACTATAGCCATATTCTGATGTAATAATTTCAGACTTGCTGTTGAACTGGGGCGTCACAACAACATCCCATATAATGAACGTGTCTGCACTTTCTGTTTTTCAAAGGGACATAAACATGTAGAAGATGAATTCCATGTTCTTATGATTTGTGACCAGTATTCTAGAGCAAGAAGAAACTCTTTTCCCAAGCGTCTCGTTACCCCTCCCTCTATTGAGAATTTTATAAGACTTATATGTCAGCTGAAAACGAACAAATTATAAAAGGCTTAGGTAAATTTCTCTCCCAAGTCATTAACCATCGAAAGGAAACAGTGTGGAACGGTAAATCATAATTAAATCTACTCAGCATGCAAATATATATATACAGTATATTTCCATTGTATTATGGGCCGGTGGCCTGAAGTACCGAATAAATTTGTCTGTCTGTCTGTCTGATCAGGAAATGGGGGTCCCCCAGGGCAGTATTTTATCAGTGACACTATTTAGCATAAAAATCAACAGTGTTGCTAAAGTCTTAAATGACAATATTGATGGTTTGTTATTTGTTGATGATTTTAATATATCATGCCTGGTGTCAAAATGAATACCATTGAAAGACAGTTACAACTCTGTCTAAATAAAATACATAAATGGTCTCAAGAAAACGGTTTTAAGTTTTCGAAAACTAAAAAACCTGTTGTGTCCATTTTTGCAACTAACGGAAGGTACATAAAGATCCAGAATTGACTTTGAATAATATTTCCATCAAAGTGGTCAAAGAAACAAAGTTTTTGGGTATTTCGTATCTTTGATGATAAATTATCTTTTATACCTCATAATAAATATCTGAAGGCTAGATGTTTGAAAGCTCTTGATATTCTTAAAGTGGTATCAAATGCTAAATGGGGTGGAGATAGAGACACACTTTTGCACATCTATAGAACCTTGATAAGATCCAAACTTGACTATGGTTGTTACATTTACGGTTCAGCCTGTAAATCATATATCCGAGAACTCGACACCATTCACCATCAAAGACTTCGATTGTGCCTTGGAGCATTTAGGACATCGCCCATTGACAGTTTGTATGTGAAGCCATATTAACCCTGTCTCAATTTGAGACGCATAAAACTGGCATTACAATACGTCACTTCGCTCCAATCCATCTCATCCTTACCTTTTACCTTGTATTGACTGTGTATTTCTTTCAGTTCATTGAGGTATGAATCGAAAACCGATGTGCAAACTGTATGAATCCGCGTAGCAGATTCTTACAAAAGTTTGCACATCGGCTTTTCGATTCATACCTCAATGAACCGAAAAAAATATACAGTCAATGCTTATAATTAAATTCGACAACGTAAAACATGTTTTATCTACAATAGTTTAACCCAAAACAGTTGCATATATCAAAACAGACAAAAATGACGACATTGATAAACATTCCAGGTGTAGGAATACATACAGTGGCGTGACATGAATCAGGTGATCGTTTAATTTATGCACATAACTTGACACGCCTACACAGTCAGTAGCAAATCAACGGAGAGTGGGATTAAAACAATGTTCATTGGACCTGTCAATTAAGGCAGGAGGCGAAAAGAACTGCAACAGTCAGAGTGTAACGAACCGGAAGAAATATGTCCGAGAGAAGGCGGCTGTTTCAAATAACATAGTCATTTACTGCATGATTCAAACATTACTTCCCTGATAACGGTAAAACACAGATGGAGAAATGCTAGTTAGAAATGAAACCCGAAGACATGAAAGTTGAACCGAGGCGAGCGGGGAAAAAACAGGCGAGCGAGCCTGCACGTTTGCTGTTTCATTCATTCTCGGCCTTCGGTTTCAAAGGGTAGTTTGGACAATGAATATGCATGAAAGTCGGTAAATGTCCTGTGCATGACGATACACGTGAGCAGAAAGGGAATTCCCTCGACTGTAATATTGGGATTCCCCGACATTCCGCAGTAATAAAGGTAGTGCGCTGCGGTGGGCGTGGCTTAATTCTTTACATTCATTGGGAAATGAATGCAATAACACGTGACCAATTCAGCTAATCAGAATGCAGGAATTTCCATGAACACAACGAAAATTTAATTATTCCTCCGTATAAGAATTTGTATGACAGAAAACCACACTCAATTCCACCACTTGGCATTCGCATGGAATCCCATGTCAAGGATGCTCATTTAAATCTTTCTGCCACTCGAGGAAGTTTTTACATATTTTCAGAAATTAAATGATGCACCTGATGAAGAGTCTGATGATCTCACTGATCAATTTGATATAAACATTGAAGATTGTAACTCTGTTTTGAATGGTGCCATTTTGATTGCCATTTTGATTGCCATAGCAAATTTGAAAAATAATAAAGCATGTGGCCCTGATAAAATTATTAATGAATATATTAAAACCACTCAAGTCATTATGCTACCTGTATATGTAAGGTTATTTAACAAAACTTTAGATGATGGTGTTGTGAGTGGCTCAGTGGTATAATTCGTCCTATTTATAAAGGTAAAGGTGACAAATATGATCCAGAAAATTATAGACCTATCAGTCTTTTAAGTTGTTTTGGCAAACTCTTTACAAGCATTATTAGTAATAGAATCCAAAATGTTATAGAAGACCAAACTATTTCATCTGAAGCGCAGACTGGTTTCCGTAAAAAATATTCTACAACTGATCACATATTCACCCTTAAATGCCTTGTAGATTTATTTAAATCAAGAAAAAAGAAATTATTTTGTTGTTTTATTGTTTTTAAAAAGGCTTTTGATAATGTAAGAAGGACTGCCTTGTGGAGTAAACTGTTCAGCCAAGGTATAGATGGCAAATGTTTCAGAATTTTGAAATCCATGTATAGTGGTATAAAATCGTGTGTAAAGGTACATAGCATTGAATCAGATTTTTTCCCTTGCCTTGTAAGAGTTAGACAAGGAGAAAAATTATCACCTGTTCTATTTTCTTTGTTTCTAAATGACCAGGTCTATTAATTAACTCAGAAATAACACATTCCATGCTAGATTTATCTATTAAATTGTTTGCTCTTTTAAAATGCCGATGACACTGTCCTTCTCACTTCCTCAAAAACGAATCTCCAAAAAGCTATCAAGCATTTTGAATCTGGAAATTTTGAATTTGGAAATTAACTATCAATATTGATAAAACTAAAATTCTAATATTTGGTGGTAATAAAAATGATATGAGTAAAGATATTTATCTCCATGGTGTTCTATTAGAATATGTCACTGAATACAAATATCTTGGTGTTATATTTGATAAAAAGTGTTCTTTTAAAGCATCCATTGGTAATCTATGTCAACAGGCTACAAAATCCATGTATTTCGTACTACGTAAAAGCCGAAACCTTAATTTATCAATTCAATGCCAATTATATCTTTTTGACACAATGGTAAAACCAATCTTATTATATGGTTGTGAATTATGGGGTTTTGTTAATCTAAAACAAATTGAAAATGTACATATTCGTTTCATGAGAAAATTATTACCTGTTAAAAAGAGTACCCCTTTATGCATGCTTTACGGTGAACTAGGTAGAGTTCCGTTATCTGTTGATGTTAAAACCCGTATGTTAACCTTTTGGTCGAAATTACTTACAGATAAATCCAGCAAAATATCTTTAATCATTTACTCTATTGTATATAACATCCATAATACAGGTGTTTACAACTATGACTTTTCATGTATTCAAAATGTTCTAAACAATATTGGTTTAAGTTATGTATGGTTGTCACAGTCTCCTGTTTCATTTTCCTGGCTCAAAGCAACAGCTCACTCTATTTTAACTGATCATGCAAAACAAACCTGGAGCTCTGAGGTGGAAAATTAAAAAAAAAAGTGTAGTCTATTCTCTCTTGAAACCACAATTTGAATTAGAAAATTATCTGACGTCCCTACCCCTAAATAAAGCTATCCCTCTACTTTTATTTCGTACTTCATGCCACCACTTACCAATTGAAAAAGGAAGATGGAATGGGATACCTGTTTGTGAAAGAAAATGTAAACTGTGTTTTATTGATGATATTGGAGATGAATTTCACTATATTTTTAAATTTCCATATTTTACTAAAGAAATAATTTTGTTTATCCCACCTACATATTCTAAAAGTTCTAATATGATTAAATTTCAAAGACTTTTCACTTGTAAAGAGATATCTGAATTGAAAAACCTTAGTAAATTCTGTAAATATGTAATGCAAATTGTAAAATCTTCCGGCTAACCACATATCCGCTATTATAATGTGTATTTTGCTGTCATTTTGTACCTCATATGCCGAGGATCTCGGCCTGAGCGTTATAAAGTTCTGTTCTGTTCTGTTCTGCTATTGCCGAATATAAAGTACCAGCAATGCCTCAGTGGCAATCTATACAACCTGAAGTTAATTTAGAACTGGCAAAACTAAAGAAATCTGAAACTCATAAATTACTGTAAAACGTGAAATTAATGGGTCTCCAAAAGAATGCGACTGCTGGCCCCTAGCTTACTTACTTATATTAGGAGATTTTACGTGCGCTTTCCGACTGAAGCGTATTTCGCACACGGGCCCGGCCGGGCCATTTAGTGAAGATTGAAGGGAAACGAAAGGTATGCAACCAGAGAGGGGGGTTTAGTGGTTGCTTATATAAGATTTGGAAATTTTGAAATTTGGAATACATGCCTTGGGGGTGTGGTTGGAACTAAGGGAGTGTGTAGTGGTGAGTTGGTTGTTTTATAAGCTAGGTTATGGTGGTTTGGTTATTTTTAGATACGATTTATTAGGTCTGTTTTTGTTAGGTATATGCCTAGGGCTTTGAATTTTTCTATATTATTTTGAGGATTTAGGATTGCTTCTAGGGTAAGAGCTTTATTTAGGTTTAGGTGGGTTTGTAGTGTTGCTCGGTGGGTGTGGTAGTGGGTGCAATGTAGGAGTGCGTGTTCTATTGTTTCTGGGTGTGTGCAGTGTGGGCACTTCCCGGTTGCGTGATTTTTTATTTTTAGGAGATGGTTATTTAGTTTGGTGTGACCTGTTTGGAGTTTGGTGATAATTCTATCGATTTTTTTGGAGGGGTGTAGGATTTTTGGTTTTGTAAGTTTTTTTTTGAGGATTTTTATGATTTGGGTGTTTGTTTTTTGATAGAGGTTATGCCATCTTTGGGTGATTTTACGTTTGTTGATACTTTTGATCTCTGCTTTAGTTATTGGTAGCTTAAGGCTTATTTCGGGTATTTTGAGGGATTGTTTAGCGCTTGGTCGGCGTTTTCGTTTCCGTATATTCCTACGTGGGCTGGGATCCAGATGAGTACTATCTCTTTGCCTGCCTCTGTTAAGTTATTTACGCTTTTGAGAATTTGGTTTATTAGTTTGGGGCGATTTTTGGTGTTTTTGTTTTGGAGGGCCTGAAGTCCACTTAGCGAGTCTGAGAGTATTAGGATTTTTTTATGGTTTTTAGTGTGTTGGTTGTGGAGGGCCGTGGCGATACCCATAAGTTCTGCAGTGAAGATGGATTGGTTGTTTGGGAGTCGGAAAGATTGCGTGTGTCTATTTGGTTGGGCTATGTGGACTCCGAAACCTTTGGATTTGTGATCGGATCAGCAGATCCGTCTGTATAGATGTGACACCAATTTGGCCAGTTTTGATGTATGTAAGCTAGTGAGGTGGATTTAGCTATGTTTGGATCGGTTTGTTTGTTTATTGAGTTGGCTAAGGATGTGTCTATTTTGGGGATTTTAAGTTTTGGGGATTTTAAGTTTTGGGGTGAATACGTTGGATTGTTTGAAGTTTTGTTTTTGGTTGCCTATTTGGTGTTCGTTACGGTAGTTGATTATTCGTTGGGATATTGGAGTGAGTAGAGGGTGTTTCCTAGTTAGTGTCTGGTTTTGGGGACGTTTGTTTTCGTTTAGAAGGTTTTGGAGGAGAGGGTTTGATTGGGACGCTGCCAAGAAGTTTAGTGTTAGATGTTGCCTACGTAGATTTAGTGGCATTTCTCCTGTTAGGGCCTGTAGTGAAGTGAGAGAGGTGCCATGTTGGGTACGTGTGACTAGTTTGAGGGCTTGGTATTGTATTGAGTCTAGTTTTTTGGTTAAGATTTCGTTTAAAGTATCGTATATGGCACAGCCGTAGTCTAGTTTGGATCTGATTAGGGATGTATAGAGACTGAGGAGGGTATCTTTAGAGGCACCCCAGTTGGAGCCGGTTAGACATC